TGCCTGGAAGAACCTCGCCCTAGCGTTGCGCACATGGCACCTGACTTGGATCCCATTAGCTGTCCATCCAAAGACTACCGCTGAACACGCTGCGGCTCGGGTGCTATTTCTGTATTGGGAGGGCGGGTGAAAGTAAGCGAGACGCCTTGCGAGCGGGGAGGCAGTCTTGACCCCTCCCCTATCCTCTCCCTCTGGGTTTGGAGGGGGCGTTTCGCGAAACGTTGGAGCGTCCGAGATGGCCTCGACGAGAAGTCGCAAAACGATGATTTTACTACGGTTGTGGCAACATTTGGGCCTCGTGGGGGGGCCCTGATTGAGGAGCTCCGTTCCGTTGATCGATCTCCTCCGATATGGCCCCAAGATGGTCCCCGAGGCTCCAAAGGGCGCCCCAAGAAGGCCCTGAGATGTGCCCAGAAGGTCCCAATACGCACCCAAGAGGCCCCCAAGCTGTCCCCATGGGGCTCCCAAGAGAACCCCAAGACGCCCCAAGAGGCACCCCAGAGGCAACCAAGACGCCACAAGGGGCCTCGGCGAGAAGCCCAACACAATTACTTGTACTAAGGTGTTAGTAACATTTGGACCTCCTGGGGGGGCTAATTAAGGAGCCCCCCTCCTTTGATCGATCTCCTCCAAGATGGGCCAAAGATGGCCTCCAAGGCCCCCAAGGGTGCCCCAAGACGGCCCCAAGATTTGCCCAGGAGGTCCCTAGAGGCACCCAAAAGGCGCCTAAGATGCCCCCACGAGGCTCGAAAGAGACCCCCTAGACGCCCCAAGAGGCCCTCTAGAGGCACCCAAGACGCCCCAAGAGGCCTCGTCGAGAAGCCTAACATTACCCTGGGGTTGTCCACATGTTGGCCTCCTGCCCTGAGTAAGGAGCCCCCTCCTTTGATCGATCTCCTCCAAAACGGCCCTGAAGGCTCCCAAGGGTGCCCCAAGACGGCCCCAAGAGCTGCCCAGGAGGCCCCAAGATGTGCCCCAAGATATTCGGCGGGCCAGCGGGCGAATCGCGCGTCGGGTCGCGGGTCGGTCGTGGCTGGGTCGCGGGGCGGATCGGGGGTGGGTTGCAGGGCAAGTTCGCGGGTGGGACGCGGGGCGGGTCTCGGGACTGTTGCGGGGCGGGGCGCGGGTGGGTTGCGGGGCGGGACCCAAGTGGGATGCGGGGCGGGGCCCGCAACAAGAAGAACGTGAATCCATGCCGCGGAACCAAACTTAAGCCACGCACCAAGGGACAGGGTGAGACCGCTGTCCGCCCCCACTCTGACAATTTGCCCTTTCCAAAATGTTCCCGGCAACCTTCGGCCCGTCACGCCAGCCCGCCATAAAGCAAGACTCTGTGGCCTGCCAGCCCAAGATGAGTCTTAGAGAGTCTCACAGGGGACCTTTGTCAGCATCAAGTCGGACCAAAATGTCAGAAGTTGCCTCCAAGTTGGCACAAGATGACTCCAAGCAGGCTCAAAATGGACCCAAGACGGTCCAAGAGGCACCCGAGACGCCCCAAGAAGGCCCCAATGTAATCCAAGCGGGTCTGGGGTGCAAACGCCCTTGATACCGATTGTATGTCTTTATGCTTGTCGGGTTGTCGACTGTTCGGTTTCCAGAACGTCCAAAACGGCCTAAGCAGCAAGGCTGGACCAAGACGGCCCAGAAAGGCCGTTGTGCGAGACACTCGTATTACAGCAATGACGCCCGACATTCCAACACACAAGCGATTCCAGAACGCATGGCGCAGCGGCCATGTGAACCGCTTGTGAATATGATTCAAGACTCATCCATGAGAAGGATGAGTGAGAACATGATGAACGTTCATCGTGTTCTTCTTCATCCTTCCCTTCTCTTCTTCCGTCCTCCCCCTTCTCCAAACACAAACTATTCTCCTCCTCCTCGCCCATTGTACGCCTCCGCATTATCCTTTTCCGGTTTCTCCTCGTTCTAGTAACACAAAAACAAGAGTAAACAGTGTTTGGCGCCCTCGATGCAAGGAAACGGTGTGCATGTTTGGTTTTTCTGTTTTTTGGGTCTAGGATGCAAGGAAACAGTGAATCGTTGGTTCTTTTGGTATTTTGGGGTTTGGAAGCTAAATGCTCCCTGCGGCCTCACCCCCAGCACATCCTCCTGTCCTGTCCTCCTCCTTGTTGCAAAGCAAGAAAACCAAACGTACAAAGTGTTTGGCGCCCTCGATGAAAAAGGAAACGCTGTATTTTTGGTGTGCCTGGTTTGGGGGGTTTGGGATGCAAGGAAACGTAATGTATTCCCTACATGTTTCGTGGGGTTATGGTTTTTCCCTGCCGCGCCGCACCCGCGTCCCACACCTCCGCCCTCCCCTTCTCCTTCTCGCATCAGCACAGCACAGCACAGCACAGCACGGCACAGCACAGCACAGCTCACCGCACAGCAGCACAACACAGCACACCACAGCACAGCACAACATAGCACACAGGGCATTCCTTCGACGCCACAAGGGGTGCGCTTTGGGGTGGGGGCCCTATGCGCTGCAGGCCCCCAGGGCGTGGCTGGCGTGGCATTTCCTGGGCGCCACAGGGGGTGCGCTGGGGGTGGGGGCCCACCGCGGTCTCTATACGCGCCAATGTCGCAGGGCCTAGCAGGCGTGGCATTTCCTCGACGCCACAGGGGGTGCGCTGGGGCTGGGGGCCCACCGCGGTCTCTATACGCGCCAATGTCGCAGGGCCTAGCAGGCGTGGCATTTCCTCGACGCCACAGGGAGTGCGCTGGGGGTGGGGGCCCACCGCGGTCTCTATACGCGCCAATGTCGCAGGGCCTAGCAGGAGTGGCGTTTCCTCGACGCCACAGGGGGTGCGCTGGGGGTGGGGGCCCACCGCGGCCTCTGTACGCGCCAATGTCGCAGGGTCTAGCAGGCGTGGCATTTCCTCGACGCCACAGGGGGTGCGCTGGGGGTGGGGGCCCACCGCGGTCTCTAAACGCGCCAATGTCGCAGGGCCTAGCAGGAGTGGCATTGCCTCGACGCCACAACGGGTGCGCTGGAGGTGGGGGCCCACTGCGCTACAGGCTCCCAGGGCATGGCAGGCGTGGCATTTCCTCGACGCCACAGGGGCTGCGCTGGGGGTGGGAGCTCGTATCTTGTCAAGAACTGTAAACACCTTGGCTCAAGCCGGCTCGGCGCGCCTGCGCTCTCACGCAGGCGCGCTCCTGTAGTCCTACTTCAGAGCACCGCCCGACCTGTGAGGCAGCCATGCCTCCCAAAATCGCCGTGGACGCGCTGCCACCTCCATGTTTGGCGATGAAGACTGCAATGGTTCAGATGGGCGGCGAGGTTAGCGTGGAGACCTCCCGCAGATGCGCCAACGGAGTGGTGCAGTCCGCTTTGACTGCGTACCGCCGCCAGCTTCACAATTGGTGGCCCGATACGCTCTACGCGAGGTATTCGGAGATGAACGACGGTTGGTGGCCTGGCTGGTCTGCTTGATTGACCTGGCTGGCTGGTCTGATTACTTTGGCTGGTTATGGCTGGAACGAATGATCTGGCTGGTCTGGTCAGTCTGGCAGGTCTGGCTGATCTGGCTGGTCTGGTCAGTCTCTCGTCAGGATGGCTTTGCGATATGTGACATGGTTTGCGAACACACGTGTCTGTGGGGTTCCTCGGTAGTGTAAGTTTGGTTATGTTGGTTTTGGGGGCTTTGGAAGTTCAAGTGCTCCCCGCGGCCTCCCAACCCAGCATCTCCCTCTTTCATGTCCTCCTCCCTGTTGCGAAACAAGAACACCACAAATACACAGTGTTTGGCGCCCTCGGTGCAAGGAAACGCTGTGTATGTTTGGTTTTCCTGTTTTTTGATGTAGGATGCAAGGAAACACTGCGTATGTTTAGTTAGTTTGATTTGTTTGGTTTTGGAAGCTCAAGTGCTCCCCCCGGCCTCCTTGCATCCTAAACCAAAAAGACCAGAACAACCAAACATACACAGCGTTTCCTTGCACCGAGGGCGCCAAACACTGTGTATGTTTAGTTTTCTTGCTCTGCAATAAGGAGGAAGAGGAAAGGAAACGAGGAAACGCTGGGAGGAGGCCGCGGGGAACACTTGAGCTTCCAAAACAAAAACATAAAACTACGCAATGTTGCCTTGCAGCCAGAACCCCCCAAACCAGACGGTTTAAAACATATACACAGCGTTTCCTTGCATCGTGGGCGCCAAACACTGTGTATGTTCGGTTTCTTGCTGTGCAACAGGGAGGAGGAAAGGAAAGGAGGAAATGTTGGGAGGTGGCCGCGGGGAGCACTTGAGCTTCCAAAACCCCCAAAATACACAATGTTTTCTTGCATCCAAAACCTAAAAAACAGAACAACCCAAAATACACAGCGTTTCCTTGCATCGAGGGCGCCAAACACTGTGTAGGTTCAGTGTTGTTGCTGTGCAGCAAGGAGGAGGAAAGGAAAGGAGGAGGTGCTGGGAGGAGACCGCGGGGAGCACTTGAGTTCCCAAAACCCCCAAACACCAAAATTACTAAACATACAAAGTGATTCCTTGCGTCTCATACAAAAACATAAGAACAAAAAAACAGCGTTTCCTTGCATCGAGGGCGCCAAACACTGTGTAGTCTTATTTTTGTAAATTATAAATGGGGGAAACGGAAAGGAGAATGAGGAAGGAGGAGGATGGGCGAGGAGGAGGAGGAGGAATTGTGTTTGGAGAAGGGGGAGGACGGAAGAAGAGAAGCGACGTATGAATAAGAAGATGATGAACCTGAATACGATTCAAGATAAAGTGTATTATCTTGGGGGGCAACCATATATACATATATAGATATACATCTATATATATATATGTATGTATATATACATGTAGACATAACGCGGGAACAAACCATTGAACTTCACATGCATTCAAACATTCGGGTGAACATGGAAGTCGCAATGCCTCCTAATGGATCAGCAAGGATGGCAAGTTAAAACTGTAATGGGAAACCGAAACAACTCAGCATGACCCTTCGAACTCACACCTGCAGCACACACGGCAAGCTGAGCGAGCGGCATGGTTCTAGGAATGTCATCATGACCGTCCCCATCAGGGTCCACCATGTCGTGCCATTTTTCATTACTTTCCCAGATGGCACCATCCAGGTTCCTCTCTATAAGTTCACCCTCAAACTGCGCCATGACAGCGCCAAACAAGATAGACAACATCGACAGGGTCAGAGCAATAGCTACAATCGCGCCCGTGCTCTTTGCAAATACTGCCCCCATCAACTTGAAATCCTTAGTGAACGATCCGAACTTCATGATGCGAAGTACGCGAAGAATCCGCACAGAACGTAAGAAACTCAAATTCATCTTCGTCGTAGAAAAAATCACTCTAAGCCAAAATGGGAGTATAGCAAACAGGTCGACCAAATTCACGGGTGAACACACATAACTTAGTATCTTAACAGTCGGAGTCTCCTCAGGTACCAAAGGCTCGTTGGGATCCTGCGAGGGCACAATTTCAGCCCACATGCTCTCATCGCTATTCAAGATGCGCCGGCAACACCCGGCGCACAAAAGTTTCAGTACGTACTCGATCGAAAACACAATAATGCAAAATTCATCCGTGTAGGGAGGGAAACTGTCTTCCCCAACAACGATGGAAGCAAGACTTACCAGAATACAAGACATGACGAATGCCGTCCATAAATTCCCCATGATAGAATCACTATCGTCGAGAACCGCATTCAACCTTTCGAAACAACTCCTTTGAAGACTGATCTCGAGTGACTCTTCATGGAAGTCTTCTGTATCGAGCGCTCTCTGGATATCTTCCCACTTGATCCACGTTGGAAGTTTGTGCACTCCACTGGACCACTCCACCTGTGAATCAAAATCAATCCCCAGGAAGAAATAGTATCTCCGAAGAAAGCGTCGAAACGTCACGATATGGAGAACTTGTTCACCCTCGCGATGCTGAAGGTAACCGCATTTCTCGGCGTAGAAGAACAGCTTCTTGAAGAATATCGCGTCCTTTACCACGTCTCTGGTCGGCAGGATGGGAGAGCTCACAATCTTCATCAGAGACCTCCTGCGCTTCCATTTGCCGATATTCTGCGCCAGTTTCCTGCGGTCCTTTGCCTATGGTCGGGGGGCGCAATACTGAAAATGCGCATCAAAGCGGACCACACTGCTTGAAAGGTCGGTCAGCACTTCTGGTTGCGACAAGGCCATGACACGCCAAACACTGTGTGCTCTCCCCGAACTAGGCTTGCCTGAACATCCCCTACGTATTAAGTGCAAGAGGCCCCGTGACGCTTGGCCTATCTAGCCACGGATTCCTGGGGAGGATCTCAGCTTTGACGGACTCCCCGAACTACCCCCCAACTATGTTATGCTATGTGGTGCCGATGCCGCGTCTGTGCATAGGGGGCCGGGGGGCACGGTCCCGTTCCATCCCGGGCTTCCCAGCGCGTCGTTTGACACCGCACTGTTTTGCACAACGCTGGTTTGCACGTCCCATTGCACTGAACTTGGCGCACACACGCCTTGACCCCTGTCCCTTGGGCGCGCCCCCGGCGGTGGCTCTGAACCCACCCCTTTGCGGACAAGGTTTGTATCCAGATCTACTGCGTCTCGGACTTTCTGGGAAGGGGCGCCTGAAGCCTACAGGCTGGGGCGCAGTGGCCACATTTTTTGTCCATATCCACCGCGCCTCGGGCGCAAGGGAGCCCGAAACTCCAAGATGCAGTGGATACCGGTATACGTCTTGCACCAGCGCGAGCCCCCTCCGCGAGTCCCCGCCTCTGGAGGCCGACACCGCTGGGCGCAGCCGCAAACGTCTGACCCGCACCCGGCCTGCCTCTCGGGCATCGAGACCGTCCTCTGCGAGCGTGCTGGCGATCAACTGGGCCTGCATGGCTGCCGCCTGCAAGGGGGGGCGGAGGAGGGGGTGGGCCGCCTGCGCAGCCCCACGCCGGCCCTGGCCAGGCCCCGACCCCTGGGCCCAGGATCCGAGGTGGACAGAAGAGCCGAAACAGACACTGTCGGAGCTCCGCGCGGATTTCTTGGATCGGCGCTGGGACCCCCTCCCTGGCGCACGGAGCGCGCCAAGGGCGGCGCCAGAGGCGCCGCCAGGGGGGCCCCAGCACCGATCCAAGGTATCCATGCGGAACTCCGAACGTATTACATTCTATCGTTGTTTTTTATCCATCGGCTGCAGGGGGAGGGGAGGGCAGCTTGCCTGGGCCCTGGCCAGGCCCCACCCCCTGGGTCCAGGGTCGCCGTGCTCGTCCTCCTGGCAGGACCGGGGCGGCACGCAGTCCGATCCGCGTCCCAGGGTCGGAGGCGCCAGGAGCGGCGCAGGTGCACCACGGAAGCCGGGGGCACACAGATGCACGCCTGAGGCGTCGCAACCACACGCGCAGCTGCACAGCGCAGTAGGGCTAAAACCGAGGGGTGAGCGCGGGCGCAGGCCAGCTCAGATCTGGGGTCCCGAGACCGTGTGGTGACAAGCCGCGCGGTGACCTCGAAATCCGCAAAGAGCTCACCGCACCATCCGTCACCGCATGGTCTTGGGACCCTGGGCGAACGACCCGAGCCCACCGACTCACCACACGGTGCGGTCGTCACCACCGACTCACCACACGGTGTGGTCACCACACCGTTTGGGGGACCCCGATCAGAGCCAGCAGGGACATGCCTGATCCACCAGAAGGAAAGGAAACACGCGCAGGGCAAGTTCGTGTCGCGCCGACTTCGACGTTGGTTTCCGACACCGCGGGGATCGTTCAACCCTGAACGATCGGCCGAAACGAAACATCATCCTTCAACATCGGCCGACTCTGGGTCGCGCGGCGTTGAAATCTGACCTCCGGCGACGGGGTCGCCATTGGTCGACACGACGCGAACCTCCCGCGCACACGCGCAGTTGCACCTCACGCGCGGGGCACGCGGAGGCCACGCGCGGGAACGCGCGTTTGCGGAGGGCCGGGGTGCGGCGGGACGCGGTCGGCCGCCACACGCGTGGCATCGACGGCTGCCGCTCAGGCCCGCCACACGCCGTGTGCGCGCGGCCTCCTGGCACAGCCCCGTGCCCGCGGCGTCGTCGCCTCGGTCGCAGCGTGGGCCGTCGAGAGGCCTCGCGCCCTTCCCGGGCATCCGTTGCTCGGCGCTGGACCGTCTCTGTGCACGGGGCCCCAGGGCCTGGTCAGAAGGCCCCACGGCCCATGGAGGCAGAAGGTGGCCACACTGCGCCCTCCGTCCCGTTTCCTGCCACGGTGCGAAGGGAGCCCCGGCAGTCCCTGGGTTCCCACGCCGCGAGCAAGCACGACAGCTTGGCAAACTGCGGCTATATAGAGCACCAGACCCCATCTCTCTGCATGGCGCATCTCCCAAGCCGGATCGATCGGGGAGGGCCCCAGGGCCCGACGTAAACACGGATGCGCCCAGCCATGAACACGAATACGGCCCCCCAGTCCGCGAGGCTAGCCTCGTTTTACGAACGTCCGCGCAACGCATACTCTCGAAACCCACGAACAATCACGTGCATGTGTGTCTTCTTTCATTCGCTGCTGATTGGTAACGTTCTCTTTGGGAGTCCGTGTCCGTCCAGTACATTGCGTTATTTTCGTGTGTCCGACGTGGGTTCGACACGAATTCGACGTGGATTGGTCGTGGATTCGATGTGGATTCGACTCGGATTCGACGTGGATTCGACGTTGATTCGACTCGGAGTCGACGCGGACTCGACGTGGACAGTGGCGCGATGGGACAGACAAGGTCCCCCGACGATGCAGCATACGATGGCGGGGCAGTTCCAAGGGGGCTAACCACCGGGGGGGTTCGCCACTTCCTCGAGGAAACGCCACGTCCTCCAAAGCCCCTCCAAAACGGCCCCAGACGCCCAAAAACCTCCTCGAGGTCCGATCCTGAACCTCGATCTCAGGGAGGAGGTGGTGTGACCCCCTGGTGGTGACCGCCCTGGGCACTGCCCAAGATTGCCCCCCTCCCGAGGCTGCACGCAAGAGCGAGCCTATAGGCAAGAGTGACCTTTGGTGCGCGACAGGGGGGGCGAGGGGGGGCCAACCCCCAGCGCACAAGCCGCTGCTATCGCACCGCATACGGCAGGTTCGTGCGACGTCGGCGCGCGCAAAGATTTTCGACACCACGTCAATCGTTCAACCTCGAATCGATGATCGCGGCCCCGATCGTTCAAGGTTGAATTCTGTCGGGTTCAGTGGCGTAGTATTCAACCTTGAACACCTTCGCCGGCATCGCTGTCGCGAAAGCGCCGCTTGAACCTGTACCTTCCCACCCGCGCGCTCTGTCATTATTCCTCTTCATCCGTCCTCTTTCCCTTGAAAGAGAAGCATGGGGTACCGTGCAGTGATCGATGGCGGCTCGCACAAGGGAGCAGGGGGGGGGGGAAGGCTCCTTAACAGGAGGCTGCTTCTTAGAAGGCGCCGGCCTAACATGTAACTATAAACAAGGCCCGCACCTTCTACGAAGGATCCTTCTCAGAGGCCTCCCCCCTTCCCCCCTGCCCCTCCTTGTGCGCGTGGCCGGGATCGGGGGCCGCCTGCGCTGGGCAGTCCCCCCGGCTACTTCAGCGGGCCGCGGAGCCGGCCTCGGCGCCCGAGGGACGGCTCCTCGGGAAGGGGGCGCCTCCTCCCCGCACGCGGGGAGGAGCGACCCGGTCACAAGAAGACGCCAGCCGTGCACGCGGTGCCCGGAGGACCCGCCACGAGAGGTCACCCTGGCGAGAGCTCACTCCTACGCGCCAGTCGTCGGGAAGGGGATCGACGACAGAACTCATTTACCCCAAGCTGGGCTTTCTCGTCGACTGCATGGACCATGCGTAGACTGTTCGTATAGCTACGAGCATTACATGCTTCTCTCATGGACTCGAAAAGAAAATCAATCGTGGAGTAAATCAACTATGTAGTCGATCCCCGATTCCAAGTCGGAAGAAGTGCGTGGAGACGTTTTACGTCGCAGCGCGGCATAAGCAGTCCACACGCGCGCTCAGGTGGTCTGGGAAGCGGGAGCCCCAAATGAACAGGCGGCGGGAGGGGAGGGAGACAGGCGAGAGCGGCCGCAAAGCGGGAGGAAGAGAGGGAGGGCACTCACATGGCGACGTGCATCACCGCGCAGCGGCCGAGACGGCCAGCCAGTGCAGCTCAGAAGAAGCACGTGGAAACATGAAGCAGAAGGGGGGATGAAGGAGAGCGGGTTCGGGCCCACCCAGAGAGTTACATAACACAGCAAGAGCAGATCGCATCTTGAAGTAGGAAGGCGCTTGAAGTTGACTGGGACCCGCGAATCCAATTATACCTCATTTAAGCGACCTGTGAAGCCGATCCCCCCCTCCCCCCACGAGCCTGCCAGCCCCCCCCGCTGGCGCCGGGGGAGGGGGGGGGGAGGGCGCGTGCTCCTCCCCGGGCGGCGCCCGGCCGCTCCCGCGATGGGCGCTGGCGCGCGAGCCGGCCGCACCACTTCGGCCCCTGTTCGAGCCGAGGGGGCGGCGCGGGCGCGGAGGCGCGCGGCTGGCCGCGGTGTGGAGGCTCGCGGTGGTGCGCTCACGCCCTGCTGTGCCTGACCTGACCTGACCGCAACATTCAGCCTCCTGCTGCACCATCTTCATCTAACATGAACCATCCCTCCTCCCTCTGCTCCGCCTTCTACATGTCCTCGCTTGCCCTTATGCACTGTTTCCGCACCCTTCCCCTCCTGTTCTCCCTGACGATCCCTCACTGATTCCTACTCATTCCTCAGCATCGTCTCTCATGCGGCCGTAAGCCCTCCCACCACCACTCACCCTGTGCCTCTCCCCACCCTGCCCCCTGCGAGAGATCCAATGCATTGATTTTTCCCATACGGGGTCCCCGAAGACCCGACCATTTCTTCCTCGGGGCCGGCTTTTCATGCAGAGTTGTTCTTTGACGGTCCTGGGCCATGCGAAGCACCCCAGAGGCTGACAATCGAGAACACCGATCATTATTGCTTTTGGTGTGTAAACATATATACAAGAATGCAGTGGCGCTTCGCGCCACGCACCTTGGTCATTGAAGTTTGGTACGCATGCGGAATAGCAGGAAGGTCAAGCCGACAATTTAGCGATAACTCCTTGTTCCCTTTTCCGGCATCGCCGCTATTGTAATATCATTCGTCATCCTTCCGCCATGCTTCTTGTTCCTCATGTTCGCCATACCCTGCGCATTCTTCCCATCCTCCTCAACTCTTTTTTGCTGAGGCTCCTCCTTGGAGAGCCTCTGGGGGCCTCACAAAAGTTGTTTCACGCTTTCTGAAGGCCTTCTGGAGGCCTTCTGGGCGTATTCTGGGGGCCTCTGAGGGCTTCCTCGGGCCACCCTGCCTCCAACCGCGGTCTCCCTCAAAGACCGGGTCACGATTTGGAATGCTTCGAATGGTGTCTTGGGGCCATCTTGGGCCGCCATGGGGCTCTCTGAGGGCCATCTGGGACCCGTGTTGTGCCGTCTTGGGGCCCTCTTGGACTGCCTGGAAGCCCTTTCGAGTCGTTGTGGGGCGATTTGGGAGCCTCCCAGGCGGCTTCGGACGCCCAGAAGACCGCCGTCTTGGAGCGTCGGGAAGCCGAAAAGAGGAGAACCCCAACGTTCACCAAAAACCAATAGAAAATCAAGGATTTGTGCCTCTTGGGGCCTTCTTGGGAGGGCTCTTGGAGGCCTCTTTGGGGCCGTCCTGGAGGCCTCTTGGGCCATCTTGAGGTCACGTCGGTCACTCTTGGAGCGCTCTTGTGCTGTCTTGGGGGTCTCCGGGACGTCTCCGATGACCCCCCTGATCGCCCTAGGTGTGCTGGGAAGGCTTGGCAAAACGCCCTGCGAGGCCCAGAGGGCCGCTTCGAGGCCCGTCTGGAGGGCCCCAAAGCCCCAGATCCCAGGAGTCCAGTTTTCGGGGGGGGTGAGGGGTTTTCCCCCTGCCCGGACTTGCAAAAATATAGGAAGAGGAATATATTCATTTCTGTTTTCGACGTCTGGGTCTCCACCCACCTCATTCTCAATGCTACGGATGACTACCTATCATCATGGTTCCCTGCCCCCAAACGCCATTGGAGTGAACCACCGAGGGAGGCGAGTCCGACAAGGCTGGAACCCCCTTGGCCCACATCGCTCCGTCACCTCCATCAGGGTATGCGACCCACGGTGTAGGTTCCAGAAGCTATGATCCCAGACTCACGACGTCATGATTTATTAATAACGTCGATCCCCAGAGGTCTCGACCCATTCCCTGGGACAAGTTGTTCAGCCTGAGTCTTGTTCTGTCCGCCCCGAGGCCCAGTAAAGGCCCCCAGAGGCTGAAAATAATGAACAACTGGCCGTCGTGTTTTTTTCCTGACTCGACAGGGTCTGGGATCACAGCTCCGGAGGCGGCGGCTGGTCGGGTGAGCAAGAGAGGTCGCCGCGCGCAGGCTTCCAACGCAGCAGGCGAGGCCGGCCTCATCCCACTTGAAGAGTGTGGTGCGGACGCGTCCGTCCTGGGCGCCGCTCGCCAAATCGACCTCCGCAATGCACAATGTACCCGGACCCCCTGGAGCCATGAAAAAAACACGACGGAAGGTTGCTGGTTATCTTCGGCCTCTGGGGGCCATCACAAGGCCCCGGGGCCGTCAAATAACGACTCGGGATGAACTGACCCGACCTGGGGAATGGATCGAGACCTCTGGGGGCCGACGTCACGACAAGGATCATGAACTCGGAGATCTGGGTAGGGATCCCTGGACAAGTGCAAGTTCCGCGTGATTGCTGTCCTGGGTTTCTCGATGTAACCCCCGCCATCGCAACAGTGGCAGGGGACAGTGGCCCCTTTCCGGACGAGGGCACTGCGGTGGCTGAAACACGTCGGAATGATATCTCATCTGCAAGAAGGGGGGGGCTCTGGGGAAAATCGGCTGTGGAACTGTGGATTTTGCGGAGGCCACGCGCTGATACGCATGCGGAGGGCCCGCGTAGGCACCCAGGCCCAAACGGGGGCAGCAGGCTGGAGAGCGCGTCTTGGGCAGGAACGCTCGACACCAGCAGCGCTCAGAGGAGCTGAAGAACAGCCGAAATGTTCACTGGCACCCAGGCGCGCTTCTTGGTACAGCTATCGCCCCACCATCAAGAACGCTGCGCATGGAACGAAGGGGCTGTTCTGACTACGACCAGCCTCGGCCACGACTAGGTTCTCTGACCGAGACCTGAGAAACGGCCCAAAAACAAGAGCACCTGCCGAGCCCCAAAGGGGTCCTCTTGACTGTCGTACATCCGACGTCATTGATTATCTCACAACGTGGACAGCCAGAGGTCTGGACCTCGTCCCGGGGACCTGTATTGTTTCTCTCGTGGGGTTCAAAAAAGGAGGCGTCCAAGAGGAAGGATTGCAAATCATTGCCGGAGGCATGTGCGCGCCCCGGGAGCGGGGCCAAGGGGCGCATCGATATAAAAAGAGGGGGCTCTCAGATCTGGACAGATCTGTCATGGTCCCGGCCATGGTCTCCAACCCCCCCCTCGTCATCACCCCCCCTCTTGGTCGTCCCTGGTCATCCCGAGCCGTCTTGTGACGTTTTTCTTTGAGCTCCACTCCCAGCGCCTCCTGAGCGCTTAAGAGCGATCGATGACGGCAATGGAGGGGAGTGCCGCCACTCTGAGAAGAAGATTAGTCGGGATCGCCCTCACCATCGCCAACCGAGGGAGGAGGCACCAGTGTTGCCTCCTCCTCCTCCTGACGCGCAAAAGGCCCACGCACCTGGCGGAGAGTCGCCATCCGCTGTGCTTTGTGCTCGCTGCGCAAAGAGGCCTAGGCGGGGCAGGAGCCGACGCGGCCGACCGCGGCCGCGGCCGTGGCCGTGGCCGTGGGGGCGGGGGGCCAGCGCGGGTCCTGGTAGGCTGTGGTGCTGCCGTCGTCCTGCAGGAGGAACGTCTCAATCATCCCTCCTCTTTCAACTCCTCCTCCTCCACATCCTTCTCCTCATCCTCCTCCGCCTCCTCCTCCCTCTTCCCTCTTCCCTCTTCCCTTCTCCCTCATACGTCCTCCGTTTCCCTCCTCCTCTTCCACCCCCCTCAGTGCAGCACGTTGAAGGGGATGGTCCTGCGGATGAGCCCCACGGTTGCCCACCTTGTCGGGGTCTCGCCATCAGCCAGTGGTATCCCTCAATGACGCTGCAAGGCATGCTCTCCTACAAAAGCTGCAAACCATGCTCTCCGACTCCTCCTACACCTCACCCTCCTCCTTCTGCTTCTCCTCCTCCTCCTCCTTCCCTAAATCATCTGCAACCGGATTTTTCGGTAACGAATTCTGGTCGCGCCAAATTTCGGTCCTGACGCTTCGGGGTCTAAGCGAGGGTTTCGAAGACGTCGGCACCTCGCTCGTCACCGGAATTCGCGACCCGAGTCGGAACTGTTGTCGCGACTGGCTCCTTTGAAGGGTTTCAAAAATTTTTCGGTAGCGGATGATATGGGCCTCCTGTCACAGTTAACCAGACCCCACGCGATGCGCGAAAAATCTCGACAGACTGATTTTCGCAATTTTGTTCGTCTGGGGGCCCTGCCCAGGTCCCAGCGGCCGTCAAAACGACTCGGGACGAGAAAGCGGTCCAGGGGAAGGGGTCTAAACCTCCAGGGGTCCACGATGCACAGAAATCGACGTCGGGGGTCTGGGTGTATCCAGACCTCTGGGCGTTGCAGAAGGAGTCCACGCTGTCTGCTCTCGGAGGCAGAATACATCCTGGTGGACAGCCGCAGGGGTGCGCACACTTGCACTGTCTGCACTGGTTGGGGCCCGAGGCAGTGGCATTGGTCACCGCAGCGTCGTTCGACAGACCTGGTCGGCGCGTTGAACGATGTGCATCAAGTACATGATGGCGAGCTAGCGTTTGCCAACAACGCGCTGAACAAAGAATCAGACTGATCAGCCGATTGCTGCTGCCGCTGCGCCGGACGTCGTCGCTGCCGGCCGCCGGCTAGCCCTCCAGACCTCCTTCGACGGCTCGCCCTGGGGACCTCACCCCCCCTCCGACACCGCAGTCTGTTCCTGAGCTGGTTTCTGGCAGCCCGTGGCGGGCCCCAGGAGGGTCCAAAGCGGCGAACAACTTCGGGACCCGTTTCCCTCAGGTCCCGCTCGCTTCACGGCGGCGGCGGTCCGTCGCCGTATACAGGGGCCGGCGCCCTGGGGGAAGGCTCGGCCGGAGGGGGCAACGGGTCTCCTCCACCAGGCGGAACCCGCAGTTGGCTCCAGCGTAGACCTGCACCTGCGAACGCCCCGGCGACGGTGCCGACAAACGCTTGGTTTGCACAGCGTCTTCTCCACACGCTCCTCGTCGTCATTCTCTCCCCCCCTCATCTCGCTCCGCACAAGCCCCTTTTCCCCTTCCTCCTCCTCCTCCTCCTCCTCCTCCTCCTGCTCCTCCTCCTCCTCCTCCTGCTGCTCCTCCTCCTCCTCCTGCGCCTCCTGTTGGTGTTCCTCCTCTTCCTCTTCGCGTTCCTCTTCGTGTTCCTCGCCCTCGTCTTCGTATCTTGTTAATCTTCCTCTTCCTCCTCTGCGTCTTCTGGTCTGTCTGAGCCACCTCGCCCAAAGAGGAGTCCCCGCTGAGGCTGGGCGGCGTGCAGCTCAAATCGAGATGTCACGACAGCGCGACTTTGTAGTGACACATGCCTGTCCAGTGGCTGAATATGGCTGAGGGAGCGGGCACGAGCGGATGCATAGCGGAACCTCCAGCCCCCACCTCCCTCCTCCTGCTCCGCCTCGCTTTTCGCTCAACCTACTTTGGCGGCGCGCACAAAAAGGGTAGGGGGAGGGGGGGGGAGAGCATCTCAGAAGGAGGCTGCTTCTTAGAAGGCGCTGGCCTTCCTTCTACAGGCAAGGCCCGCGCCTTCTAAGACGCAGCCTCCTTCTGAGAAGCCTTCCACCCCCTCCCCATACCCCCCTCTGCACGTGACCGAACGTTCCAAGCACATTTAGGAACATGACCGCCTCCACAAAACAGCATATCGATCACATCCCGACTTCCGAGTTCCGTCCCGACTATCGAAACTTTCCAGAAAACTTCACATCCAAAATTATTCTCAGAAACGCCTCTAGAACTTCCGCAATCTCCGAGAAACTTCCACAACAGGATCGTCCGAGAACCTCCAAACCCTCCGACAGCCTCCGAAAGCCTGCTGACCCGATTGTTCAGGGCGCCATCGAAAGCCCCCTCAGACGCCATCCCGACCAGCTGTTCAAGTCGCGCCCAGCCGTGTCCACAAGGGGCCTCAGGAAGCCCAGAAGTGGCCGAAAAAGTCAGGATCCCCTCCTCTTCTTCTGGAAGAGGAGGCGGAGGAAGGTCAGCCGGCAAGTAACCGTGTCCAGCACAAGCGGAGCCCATCCAGAGCGCCAGATCCTGCAGGATGCTGCGAAACCAAATCCGGGCCGAGAGATGGGTTTGAGAGCCCTTCGATCGCGGTCCTGAAAGTGGCCTCACATAGTGGCCGAGCCGTGGGATAAGGACCCCCCCAAGAAATCTGCAGCGCAGCTTTCCCTGAATTGGCTGAGCCGGGCTTGCACTGAGAAGGGTTCCCAGACGTGCAGCGCCTTGTCTTTTTCAATACGGGGCCCCCGAAGTCCCGACCCCCGTCCCCGGGACCGGCGTTTCATCCCCAGTCGTTCTTTGACGGTCCCGGGACCCAGCGAGGGCCCCCAGCGGCCGGGACTGGCCCCAAACCCCCCCTTCGAGATCTTTTGTTCACGGCGCGAGCTTCCCCAGACATCCGGCGCCCTGTGATCTTTTGCAGACCCCAGCAACGGTTTTGCACTCCCGACGTGCGTGTTGACGGTCTCGCGAGGCCCCCGTAAGGGCCCCGAGAGGCCGAAAACTATGAAACGCCTCCGTGCCGAGTTTTTCGAGACGCCCGATGTCTAAATCTGGGTATAATTACGTAGCCCACGCCCGAAGAGCGCAGCGTGGATCCAGCGCCAGGCCCTTCGGCTAAGGCCCTGCAGAGGCCAAAAACGGCCCCAAACCCTCCCGTCGTGATTTGTGGTGTCACGACGCGTGGCATGTCCAGACATCTGCCGTCTCGACTTTTTCGACACACGGTCCACCGACCTTTCGTCGACCACTTCCCCAACACTGGTTGTTTATCCCGAGTGGTACTTTGAAACACCCGGGGCCTGGCGAGGACCCCCGGGAGACCAGAAACGGCAAAAAAACACATGCCGTCGAGCTGATGTTCACGATGCGATATGTCTGGGTGTAGCAAGCGCCCACGAACGCAGCATTACTCGCCAAAAACCCTTCTGTCGTGTTTTCTGTTTTTTTACGACGCGAGGCATGTCTGGGTAGCGCCCGAAAGCGCGGCGTGGCTGCCGCGCGGGGGGCAGAGGGCGCTGCAAACATGCCTGGGTGCCTGGGGTTCGCTCGCGGGCTGGCAAGCTTGGCTTGCGTCGCCCATACGTTGACATCTGGCGTCTCGAAACATCGAGACCGAAGTGTTTCCCGAACCTCAAAACCGTCAAGAAAGCGACTCGGGATGCAATCCGGCCCCAAGGAAATAGTCGAGAAATCGAGACGCCGGCTGTTTGGGTATGCAAAGTTCGCAAGTTCGCCTCCGCGTGGGCCAAGGGCCGACAGGCGGGTGGCGCCTCCCAAAACGCACGCCAGCACCTCGGCCACAAAACTGCCAACGGGCTGGGATCGACCGCGAGCGGTGGGCGCCGAGCACGGCCGCACCAGAGAGGTCACCGACTCCTCCCTCCTCACCCAAAGGACCCCACCTGAGGCATGGGGTGGACAGCTCGAACCGCCGTGGTTCCCCCCAACGGTCTGCCGCCACCCCATCGGGTTCGTGCTGGTGGCAGCAGGGTTTACCAGTGGACGCAGCCTGCCCCCCCCTCTTGAGATCCAGGCGTCTCATGTGTTTCGAAGTGGGCGTTTCGAATAATTTTGAGCTCTGGGACCCTCACATGTCGATCCAGCTCGAAAGATGAAACCGAAAAATCGAATCCGAATTTCTGCCGTGATGTTCTACGATGGCGCAATTTTCCGCGCAGCGTCCTCCAACGGGCGCAGCCATCCACCCATCCAACGGCAATTGCCGCTCGGGGGGGTGATCAAACAAGTTCACCGGAAAAGCAAGGGACCACGATGAGCGCCAGGGACCCCCCCAGGGGGCGGAGTAGCTATGTCCTACCGCTTCCTCCCCCCCCCAAACGGCCTCCAGCGGACCTCCGGGCAGGGCGTCCTTCGCGCGGGGGTGGGGAGCGGAATGGCGGATGAGAGAGGGCGGACGCGACACAAAGGAGGTGGGAGCAGAGGGAGGCAGGGGGGAGGGAGGGAGGGAGGGAGGGAGGAAACAGGAGGAGAATGTGGCAGAAAGGAGCCCAGGGAGGACGAAGCAGGGAGGAGGGAAGACGAGAAAGGAGGAGGACGAGGAGACGGGCGAGGGGGATGGAAGGAGACGGGATGAGGGCAGAAAGGATAATCGCGGGAGGAGCAGGAAGGGGGACGGACCAGGGACACGCAGGGACGTCTGGAAGTAACGCGTACGGCGCTTGGGTGCCTTAGCCCCGCTGGGGGTGGCCCAGCTCCATGATGGCACAACTGTGGAAAGCGCTGTAGTCGCAAACGCCCATCGCTTTCTGACAACCAAGATCAGGGCAGTCAGTGGGCAGAACGGGGGAGACGGAGCAGGGAGGAGGATGAGAGGGAATGGGATGGAATGGGGTGGGACCTGAGGCGGACGGGTGCCCCGCTTGCCGCCGCGGCGGCAGCTTCTCGACCACGGGCTCGCAGCTTAGAACTCCTAGTGCTCGCGCTCGGTGCCAATGCCCTCGAACACCGTGTGGGGGAGGGCGGCGGCCCGACCAGGAAGGCAGTATCGCCACCCTCCCCCGCAGCCCGGGGCTCCACCTCCGCCGAGTGCTCGACCTCGACGGTGTCGCCGATCTCGCTGACCATCTCCATGTACCTGCCCTGCCACACGAGGCCGAGCGCGTCGAGCATGCCCTGGGCCTGGATTCTCTTGCCAGCCAGAGCCCACAGCCTACCATCGTCGACCTTGCCGTACGCCCCCGGGCGTGCACCAGATTACACCTGCACGAAGACGTGCTCGCACCAGGGCTCCAGGAGGGCCGCAAACGACGGGTGGGACGTGATGGGCCCCTCGCCGAACACCTCGTCCCAGAGGAGGCACCGTGCTGCTGCAGGAACGGCGCGGCCCCGCCGAACTGGCGCAGCCAAAGCAGCACCTTCGACAAGGTCCTCCTGCATCTCCGCGGTCGGCACGCACGGCCCATACCACCGGCGCCTCCTCAGACTGCTCCTGCTCCTCCCACGACGCCTCCTCCGACGCATCGCCAGGAAAGCCCACGACGCAGACGCTCTGCTCTCGGGACGGGAAGGCGGAATCGCAGCCAGTGCCTGCACCCGCGCCCGCCCGCCAACGTCCTGGAGAACGCAATATCCTGCAGCGTTGCTTCCACCACGGACTCCTCCCTGGGCCCGAAGAAGAAGATCACCGAATAGATCTCCTCCCCCATCCCCACCGTGCAGACGAGCTCCGCAAGCGCCCTGGGGAGCGCCTCCATCGGCCCCATGAGCCACTCCATCGCCTCACAACTTGCAGTGCCACGCCTGCGCGCGGGCCTCCATGAGGTCCTCGGCGAGCGCCTCCGCGACCGCGTCGAGGTACTCGCCCTTTTCGTCCATGTTCGCGAACTCCTGCACCCCGACCTCGTGCTCGGTGCCGCCCGCGCCCTCGAGAAGGACTTCGTCGCCGCCGCACTTACCTCAGCCTGCTCGGTGCCGTCCGCATCCACGAGAAGGGCGAGAAGGGCCTCGTCGCCCTGCCCGTCCCCGTTCGCGCACTCCTGCACCTCGAACCGCTCGGTGCCGCCCGCGTCCTCGAAAAGGGCCTCGCCGCCCTTCGCGTCCACGTTCGCGAACTCCCGCGCCGCGATCTCCACTGCGACGCCTTCACCTCACCACCCTCCCGAATGGCCGGCAGGTCCCCGTTGAAGACCATGGCGCCGCCACCACGCGAGGCTGCGCCGAGCCCGTCGCTCTGGGCCACGCTCCTGAGCAGCTCCGCGAGGAGCTTCCCCCCCCCCCCGGGAGCAGGGCGTGCACCTCCGGTCTCCGCGCCACCCGCGTGCAGCACGGCGGCGGGCCTGCCCACCGCGCCCACGCAGGCTGGGCGGCTCGCCGCACGCGCCGCAGACCGCGGCACCACGGCCTGGCCATGGCTCTCTGCGGGCGTGCCGCTCTCCGAGGTGCGCCCCTGCGGAAGCTCCGAAGGGGTGGGCGGGAGGAGGGAGGCGTGAAGGGGCCATGGGGGGAGGCGGGAGGGGGGAGGGAGAGTGCGGAAGGAAATCCAGAGAGAGAGATTGGGCGGGCGTCTGAACGCGTACTGACGCACAGAGACATGGCCCGCCCTTCGAGGCTTGGCACATAACGCATCGTTGAGCGGTGCCGCAGCCTTTCCTGAGGACAGCCCCCCGGCCCAGGAGCGGCAGCCGATCAACTCGGGCCTGTACCCTGGGACATATTGCTGAGCTCGGGCGCGTTCCGGCACAGCCACTACCCCAGTCTGCTAGGAAAAGTCTGATGGGACATAACTCTCATATCTCCTCCAACTCTACTTGCGCAACCCAGGCGTTCTCCTCTCCCTCCTCCGGAGGTCTCATGGGTGCCCAGGAGGATTCCGGAGGAAGGCCTCCGAAGTCCCCCAAAAAGGCCGAACACCTCCAAACGTCTCGATTCTTCTCCTCGCCCTCTTCGGCCCGCCCTCCTCCAGGCCGCTGGCGCTGGCAAAGCAGCACGGAGGCATCGAGAATCGGTTGCGGTCAGAGGCGGAACTCGTAAAAACGCCCGAGCGCGTGCTCCCGTGCTGCCTGGCGCCGTGGTGCTCAACGTCGCACTGCTGCTCCTGCACGCGCTGTTCGAAGACGCGGTGCCCTTCGCACAATTTGTTCCGCGACTCCGATGGGGTAGAGAGGAGGAAGACAAGGAGGAGGCCCCAAAACCACCCTCTGTGCTTCGAGGACAGAGTCGAGTACCACCAGCCGGGCGTCGAGGACCACCAGCTGTGACACCAGGGCCACCGAGCTACCTGCGCGTGACCTGTCTGACCTCCTGCATGGCACCAGCACTCGGAATGTGGAATACCACGACTTGGCAGCCAAGGACTCCGAATCTGACCTCGTGGACTCCGACGTCCAAAGCCCGTAGAGGTGGACGTACTCCTAGACTAGTTCCTGGACCAGTTGTACGAGCACGAGGAGGGCATCCAAGCTCCCCAGCGAGGGCCAGCGGAGCTCCGACGACCAGCAGAACTACGAGAACCTCTGGAAGAAATTCGAGGACAACCAGCCGAGCTGCGCCCAACGAACACGTCACGAATAACGGCCCCAAAACGCTGTGAAGCAATAGCCACAGAGCTTGGAGGGCCACATGCAGAACTACGAGACACATCAGCTGAGCTAAGAGAGCCGCAAGGAAGGCTACGAGGGCCACAAGCAGAAATACGACAGCCACCAGCAGAGCTAGCAGGACCACAAGCAGACCTTCGAGCACCACAAGGTGAACTTCGAGGATCACCCGCAGAGCTACCAGAGCCATCTCTAGATCTACGAGGACCACACGCTCAACTGCGAGGGCCACGAGCAAGGCTACGAGAACCACCCGCTGAGCTACGAGGGCCGGAAGATCAGCCACAAGGGCCACAGGCAGGGCGACCAGGACCGCCAGCTGTACCACAAGGGCCACCAGCTGAGCTACGAGAGCTACCAGCAGAGCTAAGAAGTCCACCAGCTGAGCTACCAGAGGCACCCGCTGAGCTGCGAGAGCCACCAGCGGAGCTACCAGCGCCGCAGGCTGACCAACGAGAACCTCCACCTCAGCTACGAGGGCTACCAACTAAACAACGAGGACCACAAGCCGAGTTGCAAGGGCCACTCACACACACAGGGCTACGAGGACCACCAGCTGAACTGCGAAAGCCAGTATATGAGCAGCGAGTGCCTCGAGCAGAGCTGCGCGGAACACAAGTCGAGCTACGAGAGCCTCCAGCAGAGCTACGATTGCCACTAGTTGAACTACAAGAGTTCCGAGCAGAGCCTCGAGAGCTTCCAGCACAACTACGTAGACCACGAGCTGAGCTGCTAGGGCAGCAGGCTCAGCTACGAGGGCCGCAACCACAGCCCCTAGAGCCAGAGCCACAGCTGAGCTACGAGAACTACCAGCAGAGCCACGAGGGTCACCCGCTAAGCTACTAGAACCACCCGCTGAGCTGCGAACGCCACCAGCGGAGCTACCGGGGCCACAGGCTGACCTACGAGAAACACTGGCAGAGCTACGGGGGGGCCACCAGCTGAACAACGAGGGCCACAAGTTGGGCTACAAGGGCCACCAGCGGACCTCCGAGGACCACGAGCTGAGCTGCGAGGACCACAGGCAGAGCTACGCGAGCCACAAGAAGAGCTACGAGGACCGCGAGCTGAGCTATGAGGGCCACAAGCAGGGCTACGATAACCACCAGCTGAGCCACGAGGTCCATGCGAAGGCAGCCGCGTACGTCTCGTGAGGCTGAAGGGAAAGCCTGTCCTTAACGGTCAAGAGGGGGTCCTTGGACCCAGAGGGGGTCCTTGGACTCTTTGACGGACGCGCCGAGCGATGGGTATACCGAAGTGGGACACACCATATGCGCATCAGGACAGAGAGCATGGCAAATCGTGCCCAGATCGGGCCCAAACATTCGGGTACTACTAGTTGCTGCAAAACGATTACGAGCTCCAGCGATTGTGCGACGTCGAATCCGCGGAAGGACAGCCTGGGGCTACCCAATTCTTCCTCGACAAGTTTCACCACGGTTCGATGCGACCTGCTCGCCAAAATGGCGTAGAACATAAAACGAACGTAACCACAATGGCGAGACTGGCCTGCCCGAAACCGGGTACCGTATGCTACAGACGTTAGTATTATGTCAACAGCATTTAGACAAGGTACTCTTGTGTAGACCGTTACTAGCAAAGTACGCCGTCTACGGTACGCACATCTATCCCGACCGAGTAGCCCCACCGGTCGTCAAACCTGCCCCCTCTCCTCGATGGCCTCAGGAGGTGTACGATATGTGTGGGCGGCCTCCACTCCCCTCTCCCCTGCTTCAGAAAAGGGTGGGCCCTCCCCAGCTCCGACCGCATGTCGCGTACCTGAATGGAACGTGCCATGCCTGGGCCGCAGGCCTGAATTCAATGTGCCGGGCCTGGGCTGCGCGCCCGAATACAAGCGCGCCTCAGCGCGTCCGTCGCGCGCTTGGGTGCCGATGGAAGTTGTGTGTCTGCAGCACGCCGTCACTGTCTCTCGTCGACGTGAAAGATCAAACGGATGTGCCCGGGATGATGCTCAGAGGACGCATGCATGCGCTTAAATTGCCCCTATCTCCTGTACCTTGGAATGGATTCCGTCCGTAATGCCTCCTTCACTTGTGCACAAAACGAAGGTGGATCAAGGACACCGTACATCGCACTGAGTGCATCGGCGAACAAACAAGCAAGAAACACAAGAGTAGCGCCGAACAATCGGTCCGTGCGATCGATTTCCCCAGCCATGGTGATGATCGTGCCGGCCCTCACGTACATCGGAATCTCACAGCGGATAAACATTCGTTTCCACAGGTTTGCAGTAAACCGCGCTGGTGAAGCGAGGTGTTAGCAAGCGTGGCCCCCAAACAGTGCGTTTCTAGTAATCTATGGTGTGCAAGCAATCTGCTTTGTGCAAACTATGTGGTGCGATATATGTGGCGAAACATAATTAGCACAATGTATGTTGTACAGTCTATGTGGTGCATTCTATGTGGTGCAATCTATGAGGTGCACTATATGTGGCACAATTTAGATTATGCAACCCATGTGCAACCTATGCGGCTCAATATATGTTGTGCAGTCTATACGTTGAAGTCAAAGTTGTGCAATCTATTTGGTACACAACATGCACAGTATGTTGTACACTTTATCTGATGCCATATATGTCGTGCCATCTAGGTGGTGCAATCTATCTGACGCGCCCTATGTGGTATATTCTAAATTGTGCAATCCACGTGGTGCACTCTCTGCGGCCCAATAGATGTTGTGCAAGCTATGCGGTGCAGTCTAAGTTGTACAATCTATTTGACGCAATATGTGTTGTGCACTCGATGCGGTGTGGTGCAATCTATGCTGTGCTCTCTACGTGGTGCAACATGTGTTGTGTAACCCGTTTGGTGCAACCTAGGCGGTGCCACCAACATTGTGAAAACTATGTGATGCAAACGACATGTCCAAATTATGCGGTGCAATCTTTGTCGGGCAGTCTATGCGGCGCAACTGTTGTTGCTCGGCGGCGAGCCCTGGGGAAGGGAGGTGAGAAGGGGCGGGCCGTCTCAGAAGGCTCGGAAGTCACCCCGGCCGTCTGAGAAGTTTCTGAACTTTCCCCGAAGACGCAAAAAACTTCTCAGAAAGCCGGGGGGCTTCTGAGAACCCCGCCGCCTTCTGAGAAGGCCTCCTGCTTCTCACTTCCACCCCTCGCTCGCGGTCGAGTTGTGCAATCTAGGGCGGCGACGAGGCGGCGACGGGGCGGCGACGGCGGCAACATAGCCGCCAGATCGACAGATAGCCCCAAACGACGAGCGGTGACGAGAGGGCGAAGGGGCGGCGGCGGCAGCAACATAGCCGGCAGACCGACAGACGGGCCCAGACGACGGGCGGCGACGAGAGGGCGACGGGGCGGCGACGGCGGCAACATGGCCGCCAGACCGACGGACGGGCCCAGTTCCTCAGAGACGGAGTAGGAGCCCCTCAGTGCAAGCACTGTGTGGGCAGAAGGAGGGTTGGGACTACCAGAGGAGAGAGGAGGATGTGAAGAAGGATTGCGATTATGAGGAGGGGAAGGTTGGAGAGGAAGAGGAGCAGCAGCAACATGAGCAGGGAGGACTTGCCGGTTTCCAGATTCTGGGAGCGCCGAGCCTAGGAGGTTAGGAAGAC